TTTTTTAGATTTTTTATTTTTTTAAAATTGTGTAATTTTTATTACATTGTGTTGATTTTTTTGTCCTGAGTTATGTTTGAATTAAAGTATTATAAGGAGTTTTACATGATACACTCAACAAAACAAACATGTTCCAACAAATGATATCAAAGTGAAATAGACAAGTAAATTTAAGGTATTAAAGTGTTAAAAGTACATTAGGTATACCAAAATGATAAAAAAAGGGTAAACTTTAAGGTACCAAAGTGAATAAATACCCTTTTCTATTTCCACACAACGTGAGTACAACTTCATCATATATGATAGGCTTGTGTCACTCCAGCAAGTCTTCACCTAATTTACGGATGTAATAAGGCTTTTAGAAGAAACATTCTAATTTATGTGTGATCTATATCTTTTAGGAAAGTCTCTTCTATACTACTTTTTCAAATATATCAGTCTACCAACCTGATTAAATTTCACTAAAATAACATTAGGCCACTGTAATTTGCTCACAAATTTTACCATTTCCTACTTACATCCTAACATTAATTGCATAAATTAAACATCAAAACCAGAATACACTCTACTATCCCTCTAAAGCCTCTTCTCCTCATCCACATAGTTCTTCCCCTTGCTCGCTTGCCCAAGATCCCTCTTCCTCTTCTCCTTCTACGAAAACAATTTGCTCCTCTTTCTTCTCAAAGGAATAGTATTTACTACAATACATGTGACATTTCATTAAAACTCTAGCGTTTGGAGTTATAATCAAGGATACAAATGGGTATTACTAATATACGTGAGCATATCAACAAACAACATGTATGCATGAGTTCAACTATTTCTAGCAAGAAAAAAATGTATGATAATAGGGAACAACATCAAATAAAGGTAAAAATCAAGAAAGGGAGAGTATAGACAAAGAAATTTTAAAATTAAAATCAAAGTTAAAAATTTGCAGAAATCATATCTAATTTTTTTTTCTTTGATAATCACCTTCCTGATGTATTAAATTTAAGATTTGAAGAGATGGTGGCAGAGAAGGTATAGTATTTTTCTGAAAACTTAATTTGGGGTTGCATCTAAAAGATGATAAGGACAATAATAATCACTACTGTAAATTGATTGCCTATTGATAAAGGTAGAGAGAGTAGAGATACATTAAAGAATCTAAATAGTACCCGAAAGAGAGGGAGAAGAACGAAGGTTTGAGACTTTTGAGTTTCTGATTTCTGTGTACAAACTTGATTATGTTTTCGATTATTTCCATGAATAGGAAAATGATGAAGAGACTCCAATTAAAGTTATATTTTATCTACAATATAGTTACGCTTCTTTGTTGTTTTTCTTTGTTGTTTTTTATATCTGATGAAAGATTCCAGTAAGCAACTTCTTCGTCCTTGCATGGATGAGTGCTTAAACATCATCATCGATCTTGCATGTGAAGCTCCGATCAATGCCATGACCTGCAATCTCACATTTTTTTAAAGAGATCAGAGGTTAAAACTAAAATAGATAGACTCTGTCCTACATTCTTTCACTTTATACACCAACCTATCAATTAAATTATTCATTAATTTGGACCCGAGGAGAGTTAAGAAGCCTAATTGTGAATTTGTTTGAGAGAAGGTCAATTATAAGATTCATTAGTTAGATTTTCTTTTTGATAAATAATTAATTGGAAGTTAAAGGGGTTGTGTATGAGAACTTCTCACAAACCTTAGTTTCAATCTTCAAGAAGCCTTACTTCTCAAAGTGTTCATCTCTGGTTTAGACTATAATTTTTTTTCAAGAATGAGCATGTAATTTAATTCATGTGATGAAGTTAAAGAATTAAAATTATTCAGATACAACACACATAAATCTGTGTACTCTCTCATCACTTACGAATCCTAAAATTTCCCTAAACACCCAAAAATCACATGAGATTAAATTAAGCGACAAAATAAAGTCGACTAATATTTATCATGATGGGTCAAGAGAAGACAGAATTCTATAAACATGATATGTACTATATCAAAATTCCTCATCGTTTGTAGTTCCTAAAAGGGAGAAAAAAGAATTAGAAGCAAGTGAAATAACAATTTCTCTAAAGGTTATATATTATCTACTTATTTTCATTATATGCTTAGAATAATTATACCTACAAATGAAGACTCTCAGAATTCATTACTAATTTTTGAACCATAACAAAGTGACTCTTGAATATCATTCCAAAATAACTGAATGACACATAAAGACTAATAACAAAATATAGCTCCTGTTGCATTTAGTATGTGTTATTAGACATTAAAGCCATGCAAACATTCAAGCCTGTAGTAGGCTTTGCATGCTAATATACGTCCATAACAATATACTTTGAGTTATAACAAACATACCATTCAAAGTTATAGTATAATTTATAAAATATATTATAGTATAGTTACATACAGATATATTAAAATATATTTTAGTACACATTCTTCTTTTATGTATAATACACTATATATATATATATATATATATATATATATATATATATATATATATATATTATATATATATATATACTCATATATATATATATATTATAGTATATAAAGTTTTAGTATAATATGATATCTTAAACTATGGTAATTATTTATTGATAACATTAATTTTATGGTGTACATATTGTGTTGATTATAATTATCAATTATATGTATAATGTATAGATATATATAGATAGATATAAAGTTCATGTAATTATTAATACCTAAACTTTAGTATAACTTTTTATAGCTATAGTTTAATAATAATATACTAACTATATTAAATAGAAGATTGGAATGTTATGGTGAAAATTTTTGAGGGGATATATGTTTATGTATGTATGGCAAGTAGATACAACATTGTTCTCCTTAGCTGAAGCGCATAGAGAATAAGTAAGCACAAAATTTTATATGAAACACATCACATTAATTAGAACTAGAAAATGCCTTTTTAGGGACCAAAAAAACATGGGACCTAACATGGGACATGTGAGGTGTCGAGTCCTTGTCCATGATGGCACTGTTCATACCAATTGGTCCCCATGATGCACTGTTGGAACCAGTACATCATGGGACATGGAGCCGACACTCCACGTGCGTCCGCATTATGGGTCGCACTGTTTTAGGGGCACTGGTAGACCAGCTTAGAACTTACACATCATAAAAGCAAATGATACGTCATTTTCAGCATTAGATAGAGTCGTGGACTTTCCCCACAGAGAGTTCTCCTCTCTTTGTGTGATTATTTCTTTTTTCGTAGAATTCATTGTTGTCTGCAAATTTGCCCCAATATATAGAAGACGATAAAAGAAACAAAGAGATCTGGATAAGAAAAATGTGTTGTCTCCTACTATTACGATGACAACACATACCATACTGATAACTCTAATTATAAATATATATATGCATCTATCATGCAGTGATATGTGCGTAACTCATGTCAGCTAACTTCATCATGAGCTCCTCCGACACCGCTGATTCTCCACTCGGAAACCGTTCCATCAACAGCTCTCAAATTCACCATCACCCTTCCTCGATCGAATTACGCGCCACTATCTCCTTTGTCAAAACCACCATCTGCATCGTAATGCAACCACAATTGCGGCCGATAAAACCTGTCTCTCTCTCTGCTGCTCCTCGCTGACATCTCTCGCACTCCGCTACTATGGAAATGCGCAGCTCACTACAACGCCACTTCACCAAATTCAGCCGTACCGCAAAATGTCGAGCTTGCCTCAATGGCAGGAAAGCACAGGTCTGTTAAGTATCGAACTCCTTGGTCTTCTCTTCAATTTTCTTATATTGCCAGAGCAAAGAAGAATAGCAGAGAAAAAAAGTAGAACCTTTGTTGTTTTTTTTTTTTTTATTGTTCTTTTTTTGTTTTGTTGACACTTTAATTATTTGATTTGACCTAGTATTTGTTATGTGAAGAGTGGTAGAGGGAGACCAGAGAAGGAGATTATATAGGGAGTGAAATGAAACAGATGGAAGTTGGAGGGGTTCGTGATAATTTGTTGGACGTATTAAGAGGAGCCCACTTGTAAAAGGTGTTAATACACGAAAAGTAGCTTTCAAACTGCTAAATTTCTTCTTTATGAAATGTTTCCATTAGAGGGACATTAAATTTTCACACATTAGAAAATCTAAGTTTTGTAGGGACCACTTAAGGTAGAATTACAGAAGTGTGAACTATTTTCTATCTTGGTTTGTATCTCTTAGGCACTATAAACTATTAAAGTCTGAATAAAATGTTTCATCTATGCCTTTACATATGTGCACATAAACACCAAATTATTATTAACAATTCAATTAGATAATGATTAATTTATTAATTTAATTAGAGTTACATAATTAATTATTTTAATTTTTATTTAAAACCACTCTAGATGAGATATAAACGTTATTTGCAGCTAATAAGCACTAAAATTTTTAATGTTTAATTATAATCTTATACTATTACAAATCTAGTGTTTAATATATTTTTTGTACTATTATAATCTAATTGGATTTGCATTATCTATTTACCCTTTAAAAGAGGGAGTTCATGAAAAACTTTACCCTCCCCAAAATAGCATTCCACCAAATATAATTACCAAACATATCCTGAATTCATAAACCAATTTATACATTCATCGGTTACGCCTCTATTCATCCCCCTTTCAATTCGTCGGTTACGTCCTAATCCTTTTAATTCTTCGGTTACCTCGTCTCCTACGATCTTCCGTTACCTCCACCAGCTTTGAAAGATGATTTCTCAGTTCTTCTCCGCCATTATCAACGCTTTCCCTCAGTCATCATCAACGCTTCACCGTATCGTCCGTTCTTCAAAGTTTTTGGGAATTGGTTAGAATATTTGCTTCATTTTCGTTTAATTTTAAAGAATCATTTCATTGAATTTGTATATAATTCGCCATCATCTAATTTTTTTCTAATTCGACAACAGGTCAATTGTTTTCCGAATTAGGGCTTGCTTCAAGTGTTCCAATTGATCCTGTGTCAATTTCATCAGGAGGTCAATTGTTTTCCGAATTAGGGCTTGCTTCAAGTGTTCCAATTGATCCTGTGTCAATTTCATCAGGTCATCAGGTAAAAATTCTCTTTTTATTTTTAATTTTTCTTTGATTATTTTAGGAACTGTGATTGTTAGAGATTTGAAGGTCGATTATTAAATTAATGCAAACGGTTTAACTTATGGAATCAATTCTCCAAGGGCATTCCTTTTTCTCTGCAATATTTTGTTGTTTTAGGTTTATCTGGTTTGAATGATTAATTGGAACCTCCTTGAGTTTTTTTAATTAGTAGCCTTTGAGTTTGCTTATAATTGATGAAAGTTGTGGCTTTGTGATGTTAGAGATGCGTATGTTGTGAATTCTCTTAGTTTGACCTATTATTTGTTCCTTTTTGGCTTTGTGATGTTAGAGATGCGTATGTTGTGAATTCTCTTAGTTTGACCTATTATTTGTTCCTTTTTGTTTTCTGTAGAGGAAATTGTGTGGCAATGTTGTTCTTCCTTACTGACACTTGAGAGTATCTCCAAGTTTAGAAAGCTTGTATTTTGGAGTCTGAAATTGCTATTTTTTAGAATTTATTAGTGGAATTCAGTCGAGGATTGGTTGCCTTGCTGCTCTCTTCTAGGTTGTGCTTGTGTGATTTATGGTCATTAGCATTTGGCACCGATGTCTTTAGCATATGATATGTATTGATGAACTATAATGTGTATATTTTCTTTTTTGAATTAGAAGTGCAAACATACAAGCTTTTTCCTAGATCACCTTTTTCTTTTCAGCTCCTTCTGCTTCAAAAAAATTATCATTATTTTGCATATATCTGTAATTTAATCCTAATTAATTAATTAGGTACCTGAAGTCATAGATTGTTCAGTATTTTTCCTAAGGAAAATTTATCAATTCCATAAAAGTACATGTGAATGAAGAAAATGGAATTAATGGTAAGGGTAAAGAAATAGTTGCCCTGTTAAGGATCAGGATTACATGTGAATGAAGAAAATGGAATTAATGGTAAGGGTAAAGAAATAGTTGCCCTGTTAAGGATCAGGATGTTTGCTTCTGCTTTATGTAAGGGTAAATGGTAAGGGTAAAGAAATAGTTGCCCTGTTAAGGATCAGGATGTTTGCTTCTGCTTTATGTAAGGGTAAAAATTCTCTTCTAGGATGATTGTTCACGACCTATATGTGAATCGCTGTTAGTGAAGATAACTCAGACCTTTAGAAAGGTCTCAGGTTGAAGAATGATAAATAAAACTGAACCCAAAGCCTTGGTTGTAGGCAATTTTTGGAAAGTGAGACTTATGCAAGATTTTGAACAGACCTTTGTATTATACAGTTATCTTTTACATGTTATTGCATATCAAGAGAATTTTCTATTGTTCTTAGCAACATGCATAAATGTAAGTTATCTTCCTCACATCTAAGCTTGGAAATTCTATAAGAATACTCTGCTATCAAAATGTGCAAATTGTCTTTCCGTCTCAAACTAATTGTGTTGTGCATTCTTCTACATTTTCATCAGACTATTGTAATCTTAAGAATAGTGCCAGCAGTATTATCTCTGTTTTGGCTTTCTTTTATGGAAGAGATGACACTACACCGTCTAAATGGTTACAGGATGGGTTAATTTAGTACTTGCTTTAAGGTAATTGAGTATGACATTTTTGGAATTGGCTTGGAAAGAAGTAGTTAAAGTTATCACTAGGAATATTCAAAAAACAGGAAAGCCTTTTCACCTATTTCAAAAAAAATATAGGAGTTCTCCTAAATGACTGTCAGGCTCTGGTACTATAATTCTACAAGGAAAACACAAGACTACTATGACATAAGAAATAAGAACACAACATATACTAGCTGCTGAAGGAATGATGGCGAAAAATTACTTGACTGACCCATTCTTTGTTATTAAAAAACTAAACAATCTATCTTTTTTTAAACTATCTTTGTTACCTAGATAAGAGTAAAATAATTCTCAGTTCTACTTTTACTTTAGTTTGTTTCTGCTATATCTAAATTTGTTTTGTTTTATTTATCATCTTGCTTATTTATCATGTTGCTGGAATAAGCAAAAGCAATAACCTTAAAAATAAAGGTTATAAACTTTGATAAAAAGAGAAAATGGAATTAATAATCTTCGAGTTAAATACAACCAAATTTGGAGCGTGTAGCTAGAGTAGCAGAGGTTTTTGAATCTTGAGGAACGAAGATGATTGAGAATTTGTTGGGTGTCCGTGTGTTTTGGAATATAGTTTAGCTGTAAATGTAGTCAGATGAAATCAATAAAGGAGACAATTCGAGTTCACATTGTGGTTGAATTAGTGTAATTTTTTGTCCCTTGATATTTAGAGAGATTTTGGGAACTAATAGTCAGAGTGTAGGTGTTAATTGATTTGTCATGACACGGCATGCCAATAAACAGTGACAAGAGTTAGCTAGATATAGACCGTCCTTGTCAAATACTAGTGCCAGAGTCAAATTTCAATTGGGCTATTATATTTCAAGCGAGTGTTAGAAGCGCACTCCATGAGTACTACGATATATATTTGGTACTACGATGACGAGTCATAAAGAATCAGGTATATCAAGAATCATAAACCAGGGGCAAAGCAAGCATTTTTGTTCAGAATAGGCACACAATCAAATCTATAAGGAGTTAAGTACCAGAGCGTGAAGCATTTTACACAAATAGCAACTGGAATTATGCGAGACTTGAAAAAGTTTCTAACTAAAAGCCTGAACTTCAGACTAGGTATTTATGCGAAAATCCTGTGAGAACGTGCTTGTTGTTCATAAAGAGAACCTGCTATATACAATTTCTCTTTTGTTATTTATTCTCTATACCTAAATCTAATTTGAAAATTGGAATGTGATTTATTCAAAAACAGAACAAAAGCTATCTAATTTCAATACTATGGATGTCATACAAAAAAGGTATATAATAGTGATGGCATAATTAATTTATGAATTAAAGCATACAATGTTAAAACATTAGAATAAATTGTGATCAATGTAAAAAAGATTGCATGTTCTGCTAAATACCAACTTTTGCTCATTCGAACTGACGATGGTGTTTTTCATTATTAGTTAGGGAAACGCTGTTGCTGCACAGCATGGTTCAATTTTTTATGATGAAGTATTAATAGGATTGGCTTTTTTCAAAGTTATTGTTGATTACAACATACACAAAAGTCTAAACACTGTCTCACATACAAATAATATAAAAATATATTGACTTTTTCTTCAAGCGTTTAGAGAGAAGGGTATATGAGTATGTTTAAGGTTGATCAAATAATTATCAAGTAGTTCACTAATTTTTAATCTAACTATTTGTTCAGATTTGATTTGAATATTATTTACGAAAATTCAAATATTTTATCTATAAAGGAGTTGAATGAATTCACAAATTCAATTCATTTTCTTATAAAATATTTGTCCGTACATTTGATTCCTTAAATTTTACGTTACTGTAGATATGAAGTTATGTTTTTATTTCCCTTACATATTTAATCTAGATACTATGCTTGTAAGAACCGATCCCTAAACACAGCCCCCCCTCCCTCAATGTATGGATTGCCAGTTCGAATTTTTTAATTAGACTTTCAAAATATGAATTTAAAATCATCATTGCACGGGAGTATTCTCCAAATATAAATAAATTATTATTAAAATAATCAAATTCTTTAAACTAATGAAAGTATTTTTGTTTAAAGTTACCTTTTTAAACATATCTTTCTAAATAATCTTTTTAAAGTTATCTTATATCAATAACAGACTCAAAAGGAGAATCAGATGCTTTCTTTTCTTACCTGTCTTTGTCCTGTAAGAAGTTTCTTTGTTCTTGATGATTATCCTACATTAAGTTGTAGCAATCAGTGAAGTAATTATACCTTCAAGATGTTGGTATAAAACCTGTTATTGTTATCTTAGTTTTATGCTCTCAGTAAGGGCTTCTATATTGTTGTTGTCTGTAAACATTTCCTTGCGTGCTCTGGTATAGTAGTTCATATGTACAATTTCTTGCAGGTTATTTGCCCTAAAAGAAAAAGATCTTGCATATTAAGATTTATGAAACAAGGGTTCAATTTATATGTTAGAACATGCTGAGGAAACTATTTTTAGAGTTGTTTAAAACTTACACACTGCATATGTTTTGGTCATAACAACAAATACTAGATAAGATATATTTGCTTTGTTTCCTGATAGAATCCCATTAGACTCAATACTCCCTAATCTTCTTAATTTTCTTTACTTGTTTTAATGCACACATTATACCGTTCCTAATAATTTAACATTTTTTCATATTAATGCAGATATTCTACTTGGTTGGATTTGCCTTGTTTTTTTTTTTGAAAACATTTCTAAATTTGTCGGTGATTCAGATGAGTTAAGCAACTTTCTTCTCTTTTCTCTTTATTTTATTCATAGTGATGATAACTCTATTTCCTTGTATTTATCTTTACAGGTGGAGAAATTACCCCCATTTATATTGTTTGGCTATCATTCCCATTTCAATTGCTTGATGTACGCTGCTATGGATTTACTTCATGCACATTGTATTAATATATCCTATATAAGGCGGCGAGGTTCTAATTTATACATCTTGGGTAGAGCGTACATGGTTATTGAAATGTTCAAATGAGCTTTGTATCTGCATCCTGCCAAGAAAATATGGATAATAATAATAATGATATGCAGTGTTTATATATCTGTTCCTTTTACATACATGCTTATGAATTGCGTGGTTGCAGATATAACGTCTGCTATATATAATTGATATATAGTGTTTATTAAAGATATGTAACAAGAATAGTATACAACTAATGTATGAGTGCTTTTAATTAGGTAGTTCAATTACTTTACAGCGAGCTATATATAAAACTCCTTGCGATTCTTAAAACTTCTTCCTATTTTATGTGAATGTTCTGATAAATTCAGACATTGCCTGAATGATTCTGCACCCTCTGTACGGAACTTGAAGTCTATTGCCAACTCTGGTGAAGGAACATGCACAATAGACATTTGTAACTCTGAGATTCCTTCTGTTCTGGAACCAGGATTGAAACAAGAGAATTTGCTAACATCAGGAAAAAGGAATCTCGAAAATTTTGAACTCAAACATTTGTCTGATGTAAGTTTTCCTTCCATAGATATGCTATATAGGTTTGCTATTGCTCACAGATCAGTGTAAGATTCTTGTTGATGCTCATTTTGATTTATCATCATCATTTCTTATGCAAATTAATTCTTGGACAAACCTTAAAAGAAAACAATACAAGTGTCATTGGTTAGGTTATTACTTTTAGGATAAGAATTAACCTTGCATGGTAATTGCTTGAATTCTAAGCAATTTTTCATTAGTTTAATTAGGAAGATATGGTTATTTTTGAGCCAAATTCACAACCTTTTGTTTTCTTTTGTATAAATTTCAGGTTTACAGGGTTTGGAGGTCCAGTTCATTATCAACACGTTGAAGATGTGGCCTTTCCTATTGCACAGTTTATACAGAAAGGTGGATCTTATTTCAACTACTATATGGTGAGGATTTAATGTACTATCAAAATACTATGTTTCACAAGTGTGACTTTTACTTACTTGCTTTTTCATCAAAATACTATGTATTTGTGTTTCATCGAAATACTATGTTTCATCGAAATACTATGTTTTCAACATCATAATAATTTTCTTCCATGGGATATCTGATCTAATTTCTCAGCTATTGAAACAGTCTAGGATTTAACTAATTTTAATTGATTTGCTATTGTAAGAGGAAATGCTAAGTGATTACTGTCAATTACTTCATGACTAAATGACATTGATAAATTTTAATATCAATTTATTTTAATATCAAGTATCAATTTATTTTAAGTTTGCACATGATTGTTGTAGGTGTTTCTGAAGAAACTATAAGATAATTTATTGCCCCATCAATCATATTCATTGATGAGATAGATGCAATTGCTTCCAAGCGAGAAAACCTGCAAAGGGAGATGGAACGGCGGATAGTAACACAACATATGACTTGCATGGATGAATCACATCACACTCAGTCTTCTGATGATTCCCAAAAACATCTGAGAAGAAGCTTGGTTATGTTCTTGTTATCGGAGCAACAAACAGACCAAATGCACTTGACCAAGCTTTAAGGAGAGCTGGACGGTTTGATCGTGAGATTTCTTTGGATGTACCTGATGAAAAAACCACTGCTAGAGATCCTGTCAATTCTTACTCGAAAATGTAAATGTGTGTTTTGGAGAGAGTGGAGTCAATGAGATATAGTTTTATATAATAATTATGTCCTTTTGAACTTTTAAGTGTTTCATAAAATTTCAATGGAAAAATGTGTCAAGGCTCCAAAAGCAAAAACTTCATGTGACCAGCCCCCTTGTATTTTCTCCCATGTGGATAAGCCCCAAATACCTACAGTATTTGTGACGAGGCCCTAAAGTATCCCTTTAAAAAAAAGCCCATGGAAAGTTACGAACTTACCCCTTTGATGGGACTATACTCGTTTACTGCGCCCCCTTCCTATTCAAGAACTATGCCTCTCTCAGGGCCCCAAGCCTCCCCTCGAGTTCGCCGCCGCCTCCCCTCCTCTCCTCCGCCCGCCCTCCTCGCCATAGCTCGCCGCTGCTCCCCGCCTCACCCTCGACTACGCCGGAGTTCGTCGCTGCCACTCTCCGCCTTAAGTTCAGCGTTTCCCTCTCCTCCTCTCCTCCACCCGAGCTTGCAGCTGGAGCTCGCCACCCGCCTAGCCCGCGATCGCCGCCGCTCCGATCATGATGGTCTGCAGAGACCACCTGCTCCAACTCCAGTGTATTAGAACTAAATGTCATCAATGCATTTACATCACGAGCAGATTTCAAATTTGATATATGCAGATTTATTAGTTCTATGTTTGTTGGTTTTGGTTCCTTTCACGAGCTTTGAAATGAAAGCTAAGTCATCAATGAATCATTCTGAGTGCTAATATATTATGTTGAAAAGAATTATAAGTTTATTTCAGTCCCCTCTGGGAAGCAAAGTTTCTTTTACTGGTTGAAATATGCTCTTTAATGTTTGCCATAGTTTTGCTAGTTGAAATCAAGCTGGCTTACGAATTTTGCCTTCTGTTGTAAGAAGCTGCCAACATCATCCATAATATTTCTCTTTTTTCCCCTTGTCACTGAAATACCACGTTAGTTCTATTTTATACCACGTTAGTTCTAATTTATACCACGTTAATTCTAATTTATAACAAGTTAGTTCTAATTTATCTATTTTATATCATGTTAGTTCTAATTTATACCAAGTTGGTTCTAATTTATACCACGTTAGTTCTATTTTATACCAAGTTAGTTATATTTTATACCACGTTAGTTCTAATTTATACCAAGTTGGTTCTAATTTATATCAAGTTAATTCTATTTTATAACAAGTTAGTTCTAATTTAAACCATATTAGTTCTAATTTATACCAAGTTAGTTCTATTTTATACCAAGTTAGCTCTAATTTTAACCACGTTAGTTCTAATTTATACCACGTTAATTCTAATTTATACCACGTTAATTCTATTTTATAACACGTTAGTTCTAATTTATACCAAGTTAGTTCTATTTTATACCACGTTAGTTCTAATTTATACCACATTAGTTCTAATTTATACCACGTTAGTTCTAATTTATAACAAGTTAGTTCTAATTTATACCATTTTAGTTCTATTTTATACCACGTTAGTTCTATTCTGTAGAGTGTTAATTCTAATCTATTCTGTAGAGTGTTAGTTCTAATCTGCACAGTGTTAGTTCTATCCTGTAGAGTGTTAGTTCTAATCTGTACAGTGTTAGTTCTATTCTGTAGAGTGTTAGTTCTAATCTGTACAGTGTTAGTTCTATTCTGTAGAGTGTTAGTTCTAATCTGCACAGTGTTAGTTCTATTCTGTAGCGTGTGATGGCTTGTTACTTCTATTTTATTACACGTTATATCTAATTTATACAACGTTATATCTAATTTATGTTAGTTCTAATTTAAACCACGTTATAAACCTAATTTATACCATGTTATATCTCATTTATACCAAGTTAGTTCTATTTTATAACAAGTTAGTTCTAAAATTTTAACCAAGTTTGTTCTAATTTATATCAAGTTAGTTCTATTTTATACTACGTTAGTTCTAATTTATACCAAGTTAGTTCTAATTTATATCAAGTTAGTTCTATTTTATAACAAGTTAGTTCTAATTTAAACCACATTAGTTCTAATTTATACCAAGTTAATTCTATTTTATACCAAGTTAGCTCTAATTTTAACCACGTTAAATCTAATTTATACCAAGTTAGTTCTATTTTATACCATGTTAGTTCTAATTTATACCACATTAGTTCTAATTTATACCACGTTAGTTCTAATTTATAACAAGTTAGTTCTAATTTATACCATTTTAGTTCTATTTTATACCACGTTAGTTCTATTCTGTAAAGTGTTAGTTCTAATCTGCACAGTGTTAGTTCTATTCTGTAGAATGTTAGTTCTAATCTGTACAGTGTTAGTTCTATTCTGTAGAGTGTTAGTTCTAATCTGCATATTGTTAGTTCTATTCTGTAGAGTGTTAGTTTTAATCTGCACAGTGTTAGTTCTATTCTGTAGCGTGTGATGGTTTGTTAGTTCTATTTTATTACACGTTATATCTAATTTATATCACGTTATATCTAATTTATGTTAGTTCTAATTTAAGGAAAAATTACTTCTAGGCCCCAAATTTATATTTTCAATATGCTCTAGCCCCTCCTACTTTTTTTAATGTTCTTTAGCCCCTCCTTTTTGAAAAAAATATGGCCAAGCCCCTCTATCATGATTCCAAAATATGGCCAAGCCCCTCCATCATGATTCCAGCTCATTTCAGCACTTGATTAGACATGCCAGCTCATGATTAGACATATCAGCTGATTTAAATCCCGAATTGTAACATGTTAACTCTTTTCGGTAACATGTTAACTCTTTTCTGTAAAATGTTAACTCTTTTCTGTAACATGTTAACTCTTTTCTGTAAAATGTTAATTTTTTTTTTTTGTAACATGTTAACTCTTACAGATAGCATGTTAACTCTTACAGCTAACATGTTAACTCTTAGAGTTAACATGTTAACTCTAACAGCTAACATATTAACTCTTACAGCTAACATATTAGCTGTAAGAGTTAACATGTTACAGAAAAGAGTTAACAGTTAATAGAAAAGAGTTAACATGTTACAGAAAAGAGTTAACATGTTATAGAAAAAGAGTTAACATTAATGTAACCACGCGAAGTTCCTCGGGACGCGCTGACGACGGAGCGGGGAAGGGGCAAAGGGGGACCGAAGGAGGAGGAGGGAGGTGCATCGGGGGAGGGAGAGGGAGGGAGGCGAGGGAGGTGCAGCGTGGGAGGGAGGCGGTGAGGAGGAGGAGGGAGCTGTAGGGGGGAGGTTCTATTTTATTACACGTTATATCTAATTTATACCACGTTATATCTAATTTATGTTAGTTCTAATTTAAACCACGTTATAAACCTAATTTATACCATGTTATATCTCATTTATACCAAGTTAGTTCTATTTTATAACAAGTTAGTTCTAAAATTTTAACCAAGTTTGTTCTAATTTATACCAAGTTAGTTCTATTTTATATCATGTTAGTTCTAATTTATACCAAGTTAGTTCTAATTTATATCAAGTTAGTTCTATTTTATAACAAGCTAGT